TGGGGTGTGGGCAGAGCCTCCATTCACTGCGTGGGGGCCATGGCTGCTGGGGGCACCTGTGGCACCAGCCAGTGGCTTCAACGTGTGTGGGGAAAGGCCCCCCTTGGTGCCCATTTCTAGCAGCAAGGTCTTTCCCTACGGGTTTTGCTTTCCAAATGGTGATTTGGGTAAATATTACAGATAAGTTACAAGAAGTTAAATAATTTAGGTGGAAGATTTTCAATAGTTTCTCGCTACCATTTGTGTACATTTCTACTGAAGAGTGGAAGTGGTGCTTCTGACTGTTGTACCTTGGAACAAAAGGACTCTCTGTGTCTATCAAGCTGCAGTTGAACTCATGCCCAAATTAATCTCCTATTTTTCACTTCTGACCAGCTGAAAGGTAGAAATGAGAAAATCCTGAGTTCCTGGGGTGACTATAACTTCCATCTTCTTCTCAGGAATACATTCAGGAAGGGTAGGAGAGGGGTTATAATGAAACACTGGTTTATTTTCCAGAACTAATTTAATGTTCGGGTACCTCAGGCAGGAGAGGAATGAGGGATTTGGAATTGGACAATATGAATGTAATGTATCGAGCTACAATGGGTTCTGTCTGTTCTTAACTGTGTAAAGAGGTGCTGTTTGGTTGTGTTCCCCCACCCACATACTGCTACCAACTGGTAGATTCCTTGATTGAACTTCGTAGATTGATGTGGGGGAGATTTTTGTGACTGGATAGATAGTGTTGGTGTAGTTTGTGGTTTTGAACATAACATTACTATTCTTGCTCTCTCCTTCCTTTCTCTCAAAATCTACATTGTTTCTTTAAGCTCGCTTTACTGCGTGTGTCCTGGTTTCAGTTAGGACAGAGCTAATTTTCCTCCTAGTAGCTGGTAGGGTGCTGTGTTTTGGATTAGGATGAGAAGAGTGCTGATAACACGCTGATGTTTTAATTGTTGCAGAGCAGTGCTTACACCAAGCCAAGGACGTCTCAGCTTCTTGCTCTGTCCTGCCAGCAGGCAGGCTGGGGGTGCAGCAGGAGCTGGGAGGGAACAGACCCAGGAGAGCTGACCCAAACTGGCCAAAGGGGTATTCCATCCCATCTGGGGTCATGCTGAACAATATATAGGGGTGGCTGGCTGGGGTGGGGCTGGCCAGCTGCTTGGGGTTAGGCTGAGCATCAGTCAGCGGGTGGCGAGCAATTGCATTGTGCATCACTTGTTTCATACACATTAGTAGTAGTAGTACTATTATCATCATTATTGTTGTTGTTATTATTGTTATTATTATTTTTCTGTCTTAACAAACTGTCTTTATCTCAACTCACAGGCTTCACTTTCCTGTTTCTCTCCCCCATCCCAAAGAAGGAGGGGGGAGGGTGAGCGAATGGCTGTGTGGTGTTTAGCTGCCGGCTGGGTTAAACCACAACAGCGTGAAAACTGATGGAGGGAGGCATTCTGCAAATTCTCAGCTGTTGAGCTGCATATGGTTTTTCCAGAATGGGATATAGGTGCCTGGATTCTCAGGCTGAGGATTTAGTAGTGGGGGATGGGAGGGGCTGCAAGAGGCCCCTACTCCTCATCCTTCCTCTTTCCGCTTCTTCCCCTCCCATTTCCTAAGTCATTATTTTGTACGTAATATATGGGAGATCATACTGAAAACTGAAAACCTGTGCCTGGCACACAAGTCATTCTGCCTTTGAAGAGGTAACTCATACTGTCATTAGGCTTAGCACTATGTGTTCTTACACAGTGTTGAAACATCTGTTGGAGGCTTTCCAGGTACCGTCATCCTAAAACACACAGAGCAAGCAGCATCCCTAATTGTCAGACTGACCTTCTTTGAGGAGAATCAAACTTGATTATACATCCTGTATGTGTTTCTATTATATGGGAAACTTTCTGATATCTTTTAACGGAGCCTGGAAAACAATCCATGCTTTATGCTTTACAGAAAAGTGCAGTACTTTTTAACAGTACTATAGAAACTCAGCAGCTTACGTAGTCAAGTTTTATAAAATAAACATGTGCTTACTAGTGTTTTATTATTAAATACAAGAATTTCCATGGCTTACTTAAAATTTATAATTTTAAACTGAAATAGGCCTAAGTTTGTCACCAAGCAGCTGTTACTGGTCTGTAAATTTGTATTAGAGCTCTTCAGAGGAAATTTTGTAACCAGTACTCCAAAAATGCTCTAGTAGAAATTTAACTCATAAGTAAATGGGCGTGCTGTTTTGATAACGAACATTTTACGATTATGATGTGAATTGTTGCATTTGTCATATCAGTAATCTATATAATTAATACCCAGGATATCTGTAAGAACTGTAGGTGAGTTTAGCTCGTATCAAATTGTCATGAAAAGCCATGTGTTGATGGTTGACTTCCGGAGTTAGTGCTTACGGGTAGTTTGTTCCATGCAGACAGCTACTGTGTGCCTGGGCTAGCCAGCTGGTGCAGGGAATCCAATACACGTAACTCTACCCACTCCTGCTGCAGGCAAGGTGCTGGGGTGACTGAACAGGGGGAGCCACTGCCACAGCGTGCGCAGGGTGTGTGTGGTGCCTACCTTTCCTCCCTTGGGCTGGGAACCCCTGGGCACGGTGTTGGGCTGTGGCAAGGCTGGGGTCCTTGTTGCGGCTGACTCCCTTTCTCAGTGCATGCATTTCCTCTTCAAGAGGCTGTGTTCAATATTTTAAGCATTTATCAGATCTTTGAGAGAAATACGTGCAGAGGATACATTATTTTCATACAGGATAAAGGAGGAAACTAGGCATTTTTAAATCAGTTATTTAATCTGTTGCATAATGGGTAACCATATTGTTTTCTTCCTTCTCATTTATTCTTTCTGCACCTTCACCTGCTCTTGTCTTCTAATGTAAGCCCTGTTCTTGGGGAAGATATTAAATTTAATGAAGCTTCTCATTTCATAGGGAGTATTTCCATACATTTGCAAGCAGAAAATCAACAGTTTTCTCCCTGAAACTTCGTAGCATATCGGTCTTCTGCCACTACTGTTACCTTGTACTACATGACATACTCTCAGTAGCATTGCAGTATTTAACATCCAATGTGATACTCATTTTTTCAGGCAGGTCATGGAAGTCTGGTTGTCAGCTCATTCTGGGAAAAGATGCCCTGTAATCTATACAAGTCTTTCTCTCTTTGTTCCCAGTATGAACATGAAATATACAAAAGCTCCTCATCAGTTCCCATCATCCACTGTTACTGTGATTAATTTGCAGAAGACAGTTTGAAAAGTCAAGTTAACCTTTACCTTTTTAGGAGGTGATCTGGCACCATTAAAAGACAACTGACCTGCAAATGGTGACAGGAATGTCAAGAAACTTGGCAAAAAAAAAAAAAAACCTTATCAAACCATGTATGATTTTTATTTTTAAAATGTTTCCAAGTGCTTGCTAAACATTGCTGGAAATTTGTGTAGCTGCGAAGGCAGTCACTTGTCAGAACTCGAAGTTCCCATGTTAATCATGATAAGTATGTTTAGAAGGAGCTTACCCAGGCTCCACCAGCAATCCTCTTCTTCAGTCAGGGTAACATCTGCACTCTATTTTCTTCCTTTATATAATTGTATCTGTTGATGTTTCCTTACTACTTAGCATGCAGTGAGAAGTCTTCTGGAATTATGAATCAAATATGCTCTTTTAAGAGGAAGAAAGCCAAGGACATAGCTAATGCGACGACCTGGCTTTGACTTATTTAATAACTAGTTAACGAAACACTTGCTTAAAGCACAACAAAAACACCTTGCAGAAGCTTTTCTTTCATCAGGAACTTGAGTTCTTTACATTATTGAATTAAAAATGTTTTTTTAATTCAAGGCTTTTACAATTTGGTTGGACAAAAGTCAGTACCAGATAATTTTTAAGATATTAAACTTGAAAACAAATGAACAAACCAATATAAATAAATGATCACATTTTATGAAAGAAATGCAGTGGGAACCAGACTTGTATCTAACGAGCCTCCAGATACAGTCTGTGCTTGCTTGGAAACTGTAATCGTTGTCTGGCTTTGTGTGCAGGGTGTGCAGGAGCATGTCTGGGCTCTGAGATTACGGCCTCAGATTTATAACGCAGCATGACTTAGTCTCGTAGCCAGAGCTCACCCCTCAGCTTGTGCCCACCTTGGGCTCTCCCTGGCCCAAGCCTGTTACTGGAATGGGTGTAGGTTTTGTGTAGCCTGTGTGCTTTATGGGGAATGGGGAGGGGGAGCGGGTGTTGTCCATCTTTTAAGACTATTTCTACTAAATTTTTAGTGATCAGTCAGGAAAATGTAAACATTATATATGTTTCAATTTAAATTAGTTGCTTTCTGGAAATCATTTGCTTATTAATCAATGAAAAGTCACAGTTCTCAGCTAAAACTTAAGTGAGAATTCTCTGTAGTAGTTTAAGTTGTTCTTCTGAGGATGCCCAAACATAGATTTAAGCTTATAAAACAAACATGATCTTCCTGAAGGTAAAGAGCCACTGTGTGAAATGGCATGCTGAGTTCTTCGCTTCTGGTGAAGTCTACTGACTTCTCTTGACATGCCATGCCTTACAGCAGTGGCTGAACTAGGCTCTTAAATTCAGGATGCTCCCTCGCTCTAAGGAGAGAGTAACTAATGCCATAAAACTGCTGGCTTATCTAGCAACTCTAGCAATTGTGCACCAATTCCCTCTTTAAAAGAAATTAATAAAGCCTGCACCAAGATCACTTATTTCCGTTCCCTTTTATGTAGATGTAATCCTGTTTACTGCAAGCACTTCTGAAATGCTAAAACTGAGTTAGAAATGTACAAGCAGATGCTAAAAGATGTTTGGCTTTCTGTAGTGTTGTTTGTTATATCTTTTTGTTGAACAAATTTGGATGTTTATTGATTTAAATAGTTGAAGACACTCTTAGTAGCATGAGTCCGATTGAATACCAAGTCATACGAATAAAGTAAGTGAGAAGTTATTTGGAAATCAGTACTAAACTTTGTGTAAAACTCCCTCTTTTCTTTGGTAGTGTTTAATTATTGGAGGTGGCCCATGTGGCTTGCGGACTGCCATAGAACTTGCCTTCCTTGGAGCCAAAGTTGTCGTTGTGGAGAAGCGGGACACTTTTTCAAGAAACAATGTGTTGCATCTCTGGCCATTTACAATCCATGACCTCCGGGGACTGGGAGCAAAGAAATTTTATGGGAAATTCTGTGCAGGATCTATTGATCACATCAGTAAGTATTTGAGGGTATGGACCCCGTTCAGATAAGATGAGCACAGAGATCAGATTAATGGAAACTTTCATGAATTGGCAGAAAGCTCGTCTGCCTTAAACATGTATGCACATTGAAAAAAGAGGAGGAAAAAAAAAGGAGACTGTTTTTACTCGTTAAAGTAAAAAAGTCTCAAGCAAAATGGCAGTAGGACAAATTACAATCTTACGGAGCAGCTTGTTAGACTGGAATTGCTAAGCAATAGTTTTTTTTTTATCACTGTATGAAGAATCTTGATATTCATTCTAGTATGTTAAAGATAGATGCACCCCTTAATGTAATGAGGAAAGAAGTGTGATATTTTACAGGGAAATATTTTTATGTGCTGTAAAAATTTTCAGTCTTAAAATGGTCAATGTATTGGGTATGCAGATCCTCTAAGTATCATTAAGAAGGCAAGCTCTAAACAAAAAAAGCTTATGAAAATCACAGAAGTGTTTTATTACCTATAAGACTGTGTTGGAAGAGGAAACTGAGAAAGAAGAGAACATCTTGTGGCAATCGCTATACTTGAATTCATCACAATATAGAAAATAATAATGCTATATACTTTTCTTAACAATGAGTATCAACTTGATGAGCTGTGCTTGCTTCTATATTAAATACATCTTTGCTTCTCACTGTCTGCAGGTATTCGACAACTTCAACTTATCCTCTTCAAAGTTGCACTTATTTTAGGAGTTGAAATTCATGTGAATCTAGAATTTGTGAAAGTCCTGGAACCTCCTGAAGATCAAGAAAATCAAAGTATTGATTATCATAATGTGATTCTGTACACAGTAACTTCTTTTTATGTCAGGTCTCATGTGAAGTCACTCAAGATAGTTGAATTCTGCTTAAAGAAATGGGAGTCTTTTGCCCTTCTTATTTAGCAAAGTTTGCTACGTGCAATTGTAGGCGTGATAAGTATCATTGTGACAGTGCTCTGATAATTCTTAAAATACGATCCAGCTTGAAAAGTTGAGGTTTTCCATTATGCCTTCTGGCAAGTGTTTGAGGCTTTGTAGGGAGTCTGGTGTGGTTTTCTGGTATCTTCTTGAAAAAACTATTTTTGATTGATAATATAATTGTTGAAAATGGATTAAGCTCTCAGGGCCTCATTTTGCTTTCACATTCAATGTAGTCCCACTGGAGCACAGTCTTATCAGCCATCTTATGCAGATTTTTTTATGAAATAAAGAAAAATCTCTCTCACTTAGAACTTAGGGAGTAGTAGCAACAGATTTATTTTTTAATTAATTCATTAAAATACTCCGCTATTTCTCTGTAAATGTTCATGTAGCAATGGTAGAACAAACAAAATGTTATAAGGAGTTAAAGCATATTATATAGCTTTTTTTTTTAAAAAAAAATAGGGCAATACAAACATTTTCAGACAATGTTTTGTGTTAATGCAAAGATTAAATTTAGCTGCATTGGTATGTTTTTGTTAATTTGCGTTTAGAAGACAGAATTAAAAGTATTAAGAATAGGATGCTCTTTTTCTTCTTTTAAAGCCCAGTTCTTCCTGTTGTTTATACATGTTTACAGTCCTAATAGGGTCATTGTGGGGGTCATTCTGTGAGAAGTATTTTATGTGTAGTCTTGTAATGTCAGTCTTAAAGGAAGTTTAGTGCATTACGTGATCCAAATAAGGGCTTCTTTTTTTTTTGTTATCAGCTTATGAGCTTGACACCTTGCTTAATACAGCATGAAAATAGCTTTGAGTGCAGCAGAACTTCCCTGCACTGATCTGAGGCAGAATACAAGTCCGTTTGAATAGAAATGGACCATTTATCCCAATGCCTATTCTTCAAACTCTGAAAACGCTTCTCTACTGTATTCCCGAAGAATGAATAAATATTATTCTTTGTGTTTTGTGTTTTTAGAGATAGGTTGGAGGGCTGAATTTCTCCCTGTGGATCACCCTTTGTCAGAGTATGAATTTGATGTTGTTATTGGTGCAGATGGCCGCAGGAACACATTAGAGGGTATGTGAATGTGTGCTTTTAGCCATACTAATTTTTTCTTGTAGGGTACATTGGAAGACCTGAAAGTCAGAGGAGAATGAAAAGTAACAGGCTGCCTTTCAATACACCAATATCTATGAAAACTAATTTTTAATGTGCTACCTTCTCTTCAGAATAATCACCTAAATATCATTACTGATCCTCAGAACTATCTGTATCTGCATTGCCTTGAAAATATATCATGATACCATTGGGCTTGCTTCAATGTTAAGTAATTACATGATGATTTAACTTGAAGGGGGCTGACAAAATGCATTATCTTTACTATTGTGCCATAAATTTCTACTACATGTTCGATCTAAAGACCAAAAGGTGACAATTGGGTATTTAATGAAGGCATCAGAGGTATTAGTCTTGTGTAAAGATGATTTAATCTCAGAAACAGCTACTTTGGAAACAATTTGCAAAGATAATAAATTACTGTAAGCGGGGGGGGGGGGGGGGGGGGGAACAAAAAACAAAAAAACATGTCCCCCATAAGCTTGAGACATTGCTGAGAATCTGGACTGCCTGAACTGTCTTTGTTAGTGAGACACTGGTTAAACTGCTCTTGTATCACATGAACAAACCTGTTTATCTAATTATATACCTTCCTTGTAGCTTTAATTATATCCATGTTAGTTTCAGGTCACTAAATACACCATTTCCCTTTTTTGTTAGTTTCATAGTTTGTCTGTTTATTCTTATGTCTGCCAAACACAATATCCTATTTGGTGCACTAAAGATTTTTTACATACAGAAGCCGGTATTTTCATGTTAAATTTATCCCAATGAAATAACAAAAACCTACCAAAAAAGCACAAAGAGCAATTTTTATAGGTGATTGATTTCGTATTAGAAAATGTACGTATTCTCTGAAAAGCCATTTGCAATTGGCTAAAAATACTCTAAAGACCTGTTCTACTTCACAATTTACTTAAGGATAAGGAGAATACACAGAGGGAAAAACTGAATGTGAAATTGCAAGATTACTGCTTACCAGGCCTTTTTGGAAAGGGAAGCTAACTAGGATGGAGTGAGAATGCACGTAATTTCACATTGAACTGCTTGCATAAGAAATAAAAGTTAAGGCACTGAATAATTTTCAACCCTCAATCTTTGAAAAGCCACATTAGTTAGTAGCATGTTGCAGCTAAGCACTGTTACAGAGGTTTCTATTTTTTCAGATTTTTCTCTGCTGCTTTTAACTACTGTTTTCTTGCATGTTTTTTCATAAACTGTTTACCACCCATCTAACAAAAAATCTACTTGTTATTTAGCATGTAAATATGTTCCCCTTATTAAATATACTTCACTATTTCTAGTTTGTTTGGGTTTTTTTAGTCATCATTTGTACTTAACTTCTCATGTTCAACTTCTTCCCATAGTTCCCCTCCCAACCTCAGTGGTTGTTTTGTTTGTTTGTTTGTTTTTTAAATGAGACTATCTTCAATATGGTACAGCTCTACTTTTGCAGCTGGAGTTGGGGAGAAAAGACTCTGCATTCAAGGGAATTTGGAAATAAAACAAAATGTGCTGACTGTATGCTGTTTAAGTGTTGGAGTAGACTGAGTTGCCTTCAACTGACACTGCCTCAAAGTCTGATGTGAAGTTTCCAGTGTTTTTAATTATTTTATTTTCTTACCAGGTTTTAGGAGAAAGGAGTTTCGTGGAAAGCTGGCTATAGCTATCACTGCCAATTTTATAAACAGAAATACAACTGCAGAAGCCAAGGTAGAAGAAATCAGTGGTGTTGCTTTCATCTTCAATCAGAAGTTCTTCCAGGACCTTAAAGAGGAAACAGGTGGGTGGATCCTCTTTTTTTTTTTTTTTTTTTTTGACAAATAAATACAAGAGGCAGTAGAGGAAGTCTTTATCTGCAGGGCCACCCTCCCATTCCTATTAACATAAATTTGGATATATTTTATTTAAAAGCAAGTGATAAAATGCTAGTGATGTCAGAATGCTGCTAAGGGAGGTGTCCATTTATGGTACAGTAGCATTTTTTTTAGCTTGGGTATTGCCACATCATAGCTTGTTATAATGTTTAAATTCTTCTCAACTGTAAAAATGTCAGCTATGTCCAACTTTAGAAGAGCGTTTTCAGTGACCACAGTTTTCCCTTAAGACATAGTTTGTTTTGTTTGTATCTGTTTACATGCTGAACAGCTTAAATCCTGTGAAAAGGGCTTTGCCCTTCTGGGAGGAGTTTGTTCTTGGTTTTTGATGTGTAAGTCTGATAAACTGGAAAGAACTAGATGGGAGTCTGCCATAAATACTTAAAATATAAACTGTGAAATACAGCTGTATGAAAAGGGGTTTCAGAACAGATGTACCTACTGGCAGTACAAGCAACTCCATTCTTGATTTACAACTGTTTGTTAGTTTTGTTGTTATAACCTGACACTCAAATTCCTAGTTAGAGCCAAAGCTCTAGCAACCTACAAAGCATGTTGTTCCCTTTACTCCCCTTTTCTACCTCAGAAGATTAGTAAGGCTGCAGTTAACTGGCTATTTCTTAGTAGGATGCCAGATACCTTTAAATTATGTGGGAGCAAACTCCTGGGGGTTAAGACCAATTTCCTTGGTAAAATGAATGTATCCCAAGAAGGAATTTGTGGGCATCAGTCACATTGTTAGTAAATGTCACAGAAAATGCATTGTACTTCATAACAAATGTGTTATATTTCAGGAATTGACCTAGAGAATATTGTTTACTACAAAGATAGCACTCATTATTTTGTGATGACAGCAAAAAAACAGAGTCTTCTGGACAAAGGAGTGATTATGAACGTATGTAAAAATTCTGGGTAAAATCTTACTTTAGTTACTTGGCACAAACTAAGTGTGAACATATGCATAAATGTTGCTCCATGTTGTAGAAGGTGTTTGTAGACTTACTGGGTCACTTTAATTAAGCTCAGATCACTTAGATCTTACTCTGAGTGACATTTTTTTTTTTTCCCTTCAGGCAGCACGAAGTTTCTGTAGAGAAATGAAAATGATACTTCCTAAATTTATTAGTTCTGAAACTCACCAAAATGGGATCTTGGAAATGCATGGTGTGTTCATCACACCAGAAAATAAAAAAATAATTTATTTAAAGGTTAACCTAGCACAGCTGTGTCCAGTTTTCATGAGGCAAACAAGGAAGTGTTAAGATCTACCCAAGGCTAAAATGCCAATTCCAAAGTTGATGAAACATCATAAAAAGAGTCCATAAATATAATGTTCTTAACTTTCAAAAGTACTTGGGAATTTCTGAGGCCTTTTGGAAAGCATTTTTTTTCCTTTTTCCTTTTCTCTAAGATGGGGAGGTTGTTTTCTTTTGTTTCTAGAAAGTGTTTTGGCACTGTTTAAATTTCTCTTCCAGGAAATGTAGTAGTAGTCAATTTTTCTTGCAAAGTTAGATGTTGCCAAAACAGTCAAGTATAATTTCCCAAAGGAAGTGCTTGTAGGGAGCTATCAAAATGTTTCTTTCTGTTGGGACCACTTAATGAAAATTGTGGCAACTAAGTTATATTTGGAGGATGCCAGCTTCCAGGATAGAGCAGCCAGGCTGGGAGAGATGAAGGGTGGCCACCCCAGAGGTGATGGGAGAGCAGTAAGTGGCCTTTGGGGTTGAGGGGCTGGTGCCTGTAGGCACAGCTTCACGAGAGTTGTGAGGAGTTTGGAGAGGAAGGGCTGTGGCCTGGCAAGCTGTTTCCATGAGTCACTCATGTGTGAGTGAAGAAAACAATCTGCCTAAAGACAGTTGGGCTAATAGCAATTCTGTGGCATCACCCCTGTGATTAAGGTCTTGTCCACAATTAATCTGTAATAGAAACTGCCTCATTAATAATTGTTGGCTTTAAGTAGAATGACCTGTAAAGGCAGGGTCCTTTACCACACTGTCTGGAAAAATAATAATAATAATAATAATAATAATAAAAATCAGCCCCAAATAGAAGAGCAGAAAAACTTCCATAGTCCATGTTAAAATTTGTTGTTACTGAAACATCAAGTCAAGCCTTCAGGCTGAGACCAGCATGTTATTACATCAGTATGTAGGTATTTCTGCTCCCATGTGGTTTCATACACAGGGTGCACACACATAGGAAAAAGCACTGTGGTGATGGTGATAACATCGCTTGATAGCACGGAAGTTGTGAAAATAACCTGTAGTCAAGGAGCTGGGAGGTTCTATCATCTTTTATTGTAAATAAAGGTGCTTTTGAATGTTGGCATAGAGAGTTCCTGTTCGGGGTACTACAACAACCTGTGTTTGTGTACTGACTTCTCAGAGATGGTAACAGATTTCCCATGGTTCTCTATACCAGGAGATGTACAGTTGCCACTCTTATGCTACGAGACTTCAATGCTGCAATTCAGAGAGGATAGTTGGAGTATCTAATTCAGCATGCCTCTGTTTTGCAGGACTATATTGATACTGAATTGCTCCTCTGTGGAGAAAATGTGAACCAGAGCAATTTGCTGTCCTATGCCCGAGAAGCTGCTGACTTTGCAACCAACTACCAGCTGCCATCCTTGGATTTTGCAATTAATCACTATGGGCAACCAGATGTGGCAATGTTTGATTTTACCTGTATGTACGCATCTGAGAATGCTGCACTGGTGAGAGAGAGACACAGACATCAGCTCCTGGTGGCGCTTGTTGGAGATAGTTTACTTGAGGTATATTTAGGGATATCTTCCAAATAGTGTTTTTCCTTTATCTGTTTTTAAAATCTAGCCATTCTGTCTTTCTTCCAAAATAAAGTTTATTTTCTCTTACATGTTCTGAAACAATGGTACCTTCTTTGGAATAGGCTTTCTCTTCTCTTTGCTGTAGTTAACATGTTTAATGTTTAAGTAGTTAAACATAACTAATGTTTGGCTGGCAGTCTCTGGCTGAGATTCTTTTTTGCTTTATGCAAGTTTTATTTCTGTCTGAAAACTATGAGCTGTGTGTCCTCAGCTTGGGTGCACAGCATAACTCTCCCGACTTTAATCAGAGGGAAAAACTTAATCCAAACTTTACTGCAGTCTTTTTGCCTCAATATGTTCTCTTTCTGAAGTGAAAAGTGTATGTTACAGCTAATGTGTGTGTGTATATATATATATATAGTTATTTTTTTCTTTTACTAACATTGACAGCCTGAAGTGTTTGAAAAGATCAGTTAAAATCGAAATTAGGAGATGAAAAGAAAGGCATTCTCCCTTCCTTCCCCCCCCCTTTATTTTTTTTTTAGCTTAACTGATTTTTGATTATTCCAAGTCTTTTTTTTCCCAGCCTTTACCTTATGAAGTTAAGAAATTTGTTTTTAAATATAGCATATTTTTTAAATTTTCTTAAATAAGACATGGAGAGAACCCTCTAAAAACTAAAAGAGTTGATTAGATTTTATTTTAACTCTTTCTGAGCTGCTTTTCTAAGACAGTATGAAACCCTAGGCTCCAAATTCACATGGCAAGTTACTTTTGTAATAAGACTTCAAGAAATACAAGGAATTAAAATGTAAATGCTTCTTACAGCCCTTCTGGCCAATGGGTACTGGCTGTGCAAGAGGCTTCTTAGCTGCTTTTGATACTGCATGGATGGTGCGGAGCTGGGCTCAAGGAAAACCCCCGTTAGAAATCCTTGCCGAACGGTGAGTACTGCTTTTGTCTTTATTGCTTTCATAGCATTTTAACGAGTTGTAGTGTTGGTAGAAGGCAGTGGAAGATGAAATGCCAATAGCAGAAATATTTTGCTTCCCTGCAATGGCATTGGGTTGAAATTATCTTTTCTTTTAGGTTACTAACAATTTACAATGGCTCTAGGCTGTTGTTTTGTAAGCTCCTGAACACTGATACAGAGATTGAGCAGTGTGTGTGATGTGGGCCTAAATCACTAATTTAAACTGTGAATGACTAGAATTAAGTACGATACTTGACTGGAAAAAATCAAAGCTATTTTTTGTCAATCCATCAACCATCTCAGCACCTGTATTTGTAATTAGAAAAAAATGTTTTTTCCTGAAACATGTATAAACAAATACTTTAAAACCAATGGCCTTCATAAATGGTATCTGTGATTTTAACTTTACATTTTAGCAATTGGCACTCTCTTTATTTTGACTGATAAATACATGGCAAAGATGAATTGCTGTAATGCCAAATCATAAGCTTCTCTGTGTAATGTTATTTTGAACAGAGCAAAATCTTGTTGTTAATTACACCAGTGATCCTGGTGGGGCCATGGTCAGATGATAAAGTTGCTGACTTGGGTCCTTATGGCAGCTGCCCTGCTCTCCTGTAGCTACCCAGGCTGTTTTAGGGGCAAATAGAGAGTAGAAAGTCATGGTTGTGGTAATGCAAGTAGGAGCATTACTAAGTACAGTTCTTTGAGGAGTTTTAAGATAAAATCCTGTGGGATGACTCAAACACGGCGTAGTCCCAAATGGAAAATGGAACAGCATAATAAAAAAGGCTGTGGTGGTTATAGGAGTTGCAGAATGATGGGATTTAGTGCTGTTATGTGGTAAAGAAGTTACTCCTTGGGTGGAGGTTAAAGCAAAAGCAGATGTCTGTATGATGTAACCTCCTTTTAAATTTTTTTTCTTTCTGGTCTTCTTGCTCTCTTCCTGTCTCAGGAAAATATGGATATAAGTTCTAAGTCCATCTTTTTGTTGTCCTTTTTCTGTCTGGCATCCTTCTCTTGCTGAGGAGGGATAAGAAATGGTGTGGATGCATTATACATGTATGTGTAGTGCATGGCACTTGTCCTGGCAGAATCAAAATAAAGGTTCAGGTAACTGCAAAAAAATAAGATACTCGTAACATAATAAGTATGTTATAATCACTATCTTTTGCATATTTGTTCTTTATAAGAGAAAGCATTTATCGACTCTTGCCTCAGACTACACCTGAAAATATTAACAAGAACTTTGACCAGTATACCATTGACCCAGGAACAAGATACCCAAACTTGAACTCAAGCTGTGTTCGACCTCACCAGGTCAGTGCTTAAAAGGCTTGTTTGTGAAATCACAGACGCCTTTGTTTGTTTGTTTGTTTTTGTTTTTCCCAGGAGATATACAACCACAAGTAGTGCATAAACAAGATTTTTGGGAGACTCCTTAGTTCAGATCCATCTGTTAATAAAGTTAACCTAGAAATAAATAATCTTTTTTTCCTCCAGCAATTCTGATGTGTTACAATCACTTCTATTTGTAGGTGAGACAGTTATTTGTTACCAGTGAGTTACAGCAATGTCCTTTTGAAAGAGTAAGCTCCATTAGAAGATCTGTGAATCTCTCAAGACGTGGTATGTGACGTCTCATGTTTGTGCGGCTTAATATTTGGAGTTTTCTGAGCATAAAAAAGATGATTGAATTGTTTCATCTCGACTAACTGCAGAGTCGGATGTTCGGCCTAACAAGCTGTTGACCTGGTGTCAGAAACAGACAGAAGGGTACCGTAATGTTAATGTCACAGACCTGACTGCCTCCTGGAAAAGTGGCCTTGCACTGTGTGCAATTATCCATCGCTTCAGACCTGACCTCATGTAAGTGGCATCTGTAGATTTTGCTAAGTGTAGTGTATATTAAGTATTAAAAGAAGTATAGTGTAAGAGCAGCCAGAACAACAATGACAGTGTACAGTTTCCTTCTGTTGCTTGTTTTTTTTGCAAGGGAATGCACACCGTGACTAGTGTTGGGGGACAAGAAAATGAGGTTGGTTTTGTTTTGCCTTTTTTTTTTTCTGTGCATGTCCTTGCATGCCATTTAAAATGAAATATACATGCTTTTAAAAAAACAGGAAGGCTTTGAACCTTATGGCTTTTGATCATGTTTGTGGGAGTTACATGGCTATTTAAAACAAAAATTGCAATGCTTGCAGAATGTGAGAATTGTATTCCTAGGTCCCTGAAGACTGGTTTTTAGGGTATGCTTAAAACCACAGCCATAATGGCACTGTCAGGAGTTACAAAAATACCTGGATGAGTCTTAAATGAGTTGTCCTCGACAAGCTGTAGTGGTTGCAACAATAGTGGTGTAGGCAAACCCTGGGCCACAGAGGTGTTGTGGGAGATGGCAGCTTTGCACAGCTCTGTCCAGAAGAGTACTGTGCAGGCCCTTGAAAATTCCCTGTTTTAGGGATTGAACCTGTGCTAGCATCTGCCTTTTTACTGTGATTCAGGGGTTCTCACTCTACAAGGCCTGACTTCATATATATGAATATTTTACAAGGCTTTTCAGTTAGATACAAGAGGGTTGGTGTCTAACAGATGGCAGGAATGGCCATTGCTGGCAGTGGGTTACTGGGCCTGCTTGATGATATCTATAGTGAGGTCACTCTTCTGTCCTGTCCTGGGTCTCCAAAATGCACTGGATGCATTTTCTTGCTTTCCTATATGGGTTAGTCACCCACAGATTTAGAACTTGTGGATGAGTTATTGTCAGCCTCCCTTTACAGTGGATAAATGAAAGAAATTATTGAACTCTTTTTATGAGGTGTGATAGTGTGTGGGATGGGGAAAAAAAAAAAAAAAAGGAATGATGCCCAGGGTACTTCTTTGTATAGCTTTGCCAGAGGATGTGCTAGCCTTGTAAGAAAATTTTCTTGGTTGTTTTTGTTTTGCCTCAGGTTATTTTTAAAAAATGAGGATTATGAATGGTTTTGTTGCCACAGAAGACAGAGTGTAGAAAGCAAACTGATCTTTGTATGTGGAAAGTATGCCTTTTAAGCACTGCTCTCTAGAAAGCTGATAGATTTATCTTCCTGAGCTAACAGACATCCTGCTGTTTTATTAACATTGTGTTTGGTCTCTTTGGCTTTTTGTGTTAGACAGGACTGCTGAAGGACATGGCCAGATGAGAGCCAGGCTGGCCCTGCAGGAGGCAGCGCTGGGGCTGAGGGCTGCCTGCACTCCCTGGCTCCAGAAGCAGGCCTTGAGGGGTGGTAGGAAGACAGATTCTTTGGGGGGTTCAAAAGCTCACACTCCTTATGAGGAGAGAGAAACTACCCTGCCTGGAGCTTTGTACTTTATTCACGTGTTTATTTTAATCATGAATTTTGGAAGTCATTCAAGGGATTGGAGTCTGAGAATAAGTCCCATAGAAAATGTATTAGAGAATGGGTAGTGCAGTTCCAGATGTGTGATACACTTATTTAGTGCACTAATAAATCTGGTTGACGTAGACAGGAGCTCCTCATTCAAACTGTGTGTGTAACGCCTTAAAAAGAAATGTAGTGCCTGCGTTTGTGTGCATGCACACGTGTATATCACGTTTGTTTTCTAAAATGCTGGAGTAAATTTACTACTTGTGGCTTTTGGTGCTTCATAAAACTAATAAAAACCGAAGAACCAGTTGCCAACAGGTGAAATCTGTAGTAGCAAAGCTGTATTTGGAGAGTAAAGAGGTTTATTAGCACTTCGGAGGAAGAATTGCGTTTTTTCATAAATAAAGGAGTCCTTTTTTTTCTGAGACTATGTCAAAATCCTGTCCTGTGAAATAGCCTTTAAATGACACTTCTGGCAAAGCTAGGCGTTTTCATAAGAAAACTCATACTGATTCTCTTACTTTTAGACTCTGTAGCTTTGACGTGGTGAAATGACCATGCCCTCTCCTGTGGTGCTGTCCTGCACCCCTCCAACACACAACGAAGTGCTTTGTGTTTCTAAGGGCAGCAGGCAGCAAACGGCCACTAATGCAAGTGTGTTCTCCCTACAGAGACTTTGATGCTCTGAATGAAGAAGACGTTGTCAAAAACAACCAACTGGCATTTGATGTTGCTGAGCGGGAGTTTGGGATCCCCCCTGTGACTACAGGGAAGGAGGTGGGATCAGCCGGGGAGCCTGACAAGCTCAGTATGGTCATGTACCTCTCCAAGTTTTATGAGCTGTTCAGGGGCACACCTCTGCGGGCAGTAGGTAAGCTGAATCCAGATGGCTCTGAGTTCTCCCAGGTACGGGGAATGGGAGCACTTCATACAGGCTGCTCACAGGCACTGCTTCTGAGCCAAGAGCCCCTTCCCAGCTGAGTGATTCTGGCACGTGAACGCGTCTGCAATAGTTACCTTGCCCTTAGAAAAGGAAAGAGGGGAAAAACTTGATGGGAGAACAGGGTTTTGGAGGTTGTTGGTGGTTTCAGAGAACAGAAGCAGTTGGATAACTGTTGTTTGAAATCATTAAGTTAATGTATCAGGTCATTAAGAGTCATTCTCTTGTAAGGATGACTGCCTAAGTCATGCGCATTCCTTGGCATTTCTCTTCCTCTTTTAAAAAGTCACCCCACACCTTGTATGATATTTTTTTTTTTCTGAACAGAAACTGGTGACAAGCAAAATGGAGAAAATAATGATCTTTGTTCAGCAAAATCATCAAACTTCATCTTTAATAATTACATCAATTTAACTTTACCAAGAAAACGAGTACCAAAGGTAAGCTGTGAAGAAAGGCTTCCCCTATATCTATCTTTCTGTCTTCTTAAGAGATGAAAATAAACTTTCAGGTTCAGAAACAAGGGGTGATTATATATCCTAGTATTAAAAGACCTGTAGAAGGAGATTTTGTGCTCATATTAAAAAAAAAAAAAAAAAAGTAAAATAAGATTCCAGAGTAATCTAAAGTAACACACACGAATACTCAGTCCTCAGTCATTATGGTGTTTGTAATGATAGAACTGAATTATTGTCAGTGTCAAACTGCTGAAGTATTAATAATAAACACAGTTAAGCATTCTCTGTAAATGCAAGTTTCTTAATCTCAGTGAGAATTTGTGTGTACTTGGGGAGAAATCATATTAATTCTCCATGTCAATTTTCTTCAGCAAAAATGAAAGGAAGGGGAGGAGGATGTTTTATTTGGTGTGTTTATAAATTGCAGTTTTCAATTTAAAATGTTGGAGATCTTGGCTCTCTTACCTGTATTGTCTCTTGTATTTTCTTTCTGGAATTTTTTCAAAAGGCATTTTAGGAGGTTTTGTGTAATGCTAGATGCTAAGTTTTATATTTTGTTGTGTGGATGGTTGGATTTTTTTTTTTTTGTTATTTTGGAAGAAAGTCTGCAAGTTCCCTGGGTATGGCTATTGAGAGCCCTTCAAACCCTTCTATATAAATAGAGCCCTTCAAACCCTGCATATAAATGTAAAGCCTGCAAGGGTGACAAACAGTGGGCAAGACTGACTAACATGACCAAGAATAATGATGTATTCATACATACCCATATACTTTTCTCTCCTTGTCATATATTAATGAAAACTTATTGACATGCCCTGTTTATGTCCCTGTATGAAACACATCCATGCCTGTACATGTTGTAATTAAAGACTACAGGGCTTTGAAGGGGTATGGAGGCTGGAATTAATACTGTCTGACATAGGATTGCGTGCAGTGGGAGTATTGTTTTTGTATTTCTGAATGGATTATAACTTCAAAAGTTTTGTATGATTTAATTTAAAAGTTACTGTAATGAAATTATTCAGTAATAAACTTTCACCCTCTGTCTATTCATTAACTTGGGCCTCTGCTGAAGGGAGACCTTAAGGAGGGGCTTTGCTTTCACAGCCAAACCTATCTTCATTTTAACTTCATTTTAAATGGGGAGTGTCTGCAAAACTTGGCTCTGATGCAGCAGTGTCTCTCTGAGACTGCTCTAATCCAACTGATGCAGATTAACCAACATGAGTTAGACAGCAGCCCATACTCCTCCACCAGAATGAATTTAACTTCCGTGTTTTCTGAAATACAACTTAATGCAAAACTGTTCCAGGTTTTGAGTTTCCTGGGATATGTAGAAAATAAATTAGTTGTTTTTGTTGTTGGTGGTGGGTGGGTGGTTGGTTGGTGGTGGTTGTCTTTTTTTTGTTTCTTTCACTCAGTATTTACAAGTGCAAATACTCTTTAATTTTTGCCTGCAGAAATACAATTTTTCTACTTGTTTCTGTGGTTGGTGTCCTTACAGGTGTACATGTATGTACTACATGTCTCAATGTTTTTAATACATTGCTTTTTAAATTTGTTGCTATCCTACCTTTTCAGTTGTAGTAGAAATGTGGATTGATTTTTTTTGTTGTGTTTTGTTCTTCTCAGTCGTCTGAAAAAGTACTTGAGAATTTCCAGATATTTCCTAGAGTTAATTTACATCTCAAATTTTTTCCATCCCCAAACATATTTTCAAAACCAGTGGACAGTCAGCTGCCCAGTAACCTCATATATCCTTGCGAGGAAATAACTCTTCCCTGCCACCCACATACACACAAAACAAAGTGACATGTTTCCCAGCTAACCAAGCAGTGAGAAACTAAATAGGCAAAATAAACATTGCATTTTCTTGTGGGTGACTTCTTTAGAAGAAAAACTTTTTTTTTTTTTTTGTGACCACAATATTGTTATTTTTCTCTCAGTTATTTGCAGAAGTAAATAGACTTCTGGTAGTGGGGAAAGCTTTCCATTACTAAGGCATACAGCCCTCTGACTAACCTCCTGTCATGAAATATGCCTTGTCTCATAACAGGAGGTGTAGTTCTTGGCACTACATGAAAGCATGAGGTGATTTGCCTGATGGGCCCCTTTGGTTTCACACCAAAGGGGCTTGTTTGAAAGGAGAAGGGGAAGCAATATTTTGCAAATCAGCTTGGGGAGTGAGACTATCAAGGCCGCTTACTTTATATGAGGATTTGCAGCCTCGTCATGGGCGGGACATGAAGCTTGGCAAGAAGTACACTGCTCAAGTTGGGACAGAGATTTGCAAAGGCCATAACCGTCAGAAACTATCTGGGAAACGAGGCTCCTTGGAAAGCAACTGCTTGAGTTAAAGTGTGGCTGTGGTGTTGTGGTTCTTTGCCCTGCAGAGAGTGGTGTTGAGCGTTGTCCAGGTATGATAGTAGGAGAGCATTTGTGTATTGTGAAAAGTCCAAACCCACATGGGGTAACATAGTGTCATGTGTCGCTTACTGAACTCTCTGCACCATACAGTTTGTTCTTTTATCTGGCTAGACAGGGGATCCTTATCTGCGTGCTGCTGGTGAAAGACCGGGAAGCAGAGGCTGGAGCTGGTATGGCAGTAGCCTCTGCAGGTCTTGGTGATGTTTTCCATTTTCCTACTGGTGTCAGCAGAGTTTGCGAGGAACTGAGATTTCCTGTGCTCCAGACTAAGAAATGAATCAAGGTGTTTACACAACAAAGGGCACAATCCTCTTTCTTGGAGTTCTGCTAGGCAATTAAATTGCTTTGTTTTTCACTTCTTTGTAAGTAAGTTAATAAAAGTCTTTTTATGTTGCTTCTGAAAGGCAACATCTGGTTTACTTCATTCACTTAGACAAACTCTGCTTTTATGTGGTACAGATTATTATGCAGAATACATTGTGCTGTTCTGCTGTTCACTTTTTCTTGGTAGACTAATGATTATAGGTAGTGTAAAACTGGATTACTGAGAGCTGGTGCTTGAAAGGCAGTATACCAAAGCATACAAAGTAATCAAAATATTGTCCTCTGATTCTTTCAGTGCTTGCCCAAAATATGTTTGAGATTACTTCTATTCACTGCACAATGATTTATTATAAATGTGTATATGTAAAAAGAAAGCCTGTATTCTTTGATCTTTGTCTCCTTATTCTTTTTTGTTTGTTTGTTTTAATTCGCTGAGCAATCATTGAGCTGCAATGTGGGCAAATTCAAATAAGTGGAATGTGGTTTATTGTTCATAAAATATAAACTAACATGACATTTACAAGACAAAAAGCCCCCATGTCATAACTACACAAATTGTGCTGTCCCTTAAAGACTGAATTTAATGAGAAAAGACACAAATTTTTAAGTATCGACTATTTTGCAAGTTCATGCAAACTGAGTGAGAAATATTGTTTGTGTAATTTCCAGTAAAATGACAGCATACATGCATAGCTTCATGTATAGCTTGAGCACAAAATAGGCTGTTTGCTTGCTTAAGTACTACTGTGTAAAACCAGAGTTGGGAAGGAGAACCCTGCAAGGGAGATGGATAACATATTTCTGAAATTGTTGAGGCAGAGAACAATTGCTCCAAAAAAAGGGACACATTTGCACTATGAAAACATGGTCTGCATGCAGTTGAAAAAGATGCAGAGCTATAGTGGAAGAGTGAGTCGTCTTGGATTGCCATATTTATCTGGAAACCAATGTAGTGTAGATTAAAATTCACAGAATAACTGATGCTCAAATGCCTTTTTCTTCAAGTGTGTGCTAATGCTTTATGAGTTACAAAGTCATCAATACTTAAGGAGGAATAGGCAAACACAAGGCTTGCAGGTCCTCTGTTAAACAAAGTGTAGGATTTTCCCTAGCAGAGCCCAGTAGGAGCTCCCAGTCAGGGCTGCTGTTACATACATGACTACTGCCAGCAGGGCTTCTTGTGCAAGGAGCAATCCTCCTGAGCTGGGGGACCTAATGAGGGGTGCACTGGCACTGCTTACCCATGGTCATGGTATTTAACAGAGGCCAGACCACAAGACCACACTTGCCTGCTTGTGGAGCTAATGCCTGGGGAAGAAAGGATTGAATAATTTTGGTAGCTGTTAGAGTAATGCATATACTTAGTTTTGCTTTACTGTTTCAGGTTGAAGGGAAAACAGAAGAAAATGAGACTAACAAAAGACGTCGAAAAGGTCTTTTTGGTGCCTTTGAGGAGGTTAGTGCTGAGCCTGAGCTGTGTCAACACATAACCAGTTCTTTGATAAGCACCAGTGCTGAGGAGGCAGCAGAAGTTGGGGGACTGGGGCTTGGTCTCTTGTGCTTGGTAGGAACAAAAAGTCTGTCACCTTCAAACTTTGAATGCACTGTTCTCTGTGTGGAAAACAAGCTAAACTTACTGAAATCATTTTGCAGAGATAAGAGCATTATGTCAGTCACACCAGTTTTCTTTCTGACCCAAGAATGTTTAAGGTATAGGTGTGTTTGTTTTATTCCTCCCAACTCAATTATTTGAACAATTTCTGTTTAAAGAGTTTGTATTTTCTGATACGCTCTCTCTGATTTAGTTACCTTTTTGACTCTCTGCTTTGTCATCCCTAGTACTGATGCGTGTTCCCTTTTTACTGTGCTCTGGGGCCAAAGAAAATATTTTTTCAGTGAATTTTGCATGCTAAGCAGTGTCATTTTTAATATGCTATGGACTATATTTCCTCTCATCATTGGCTTATAAGGATGTCATTTTCTCTCTTTACGAGTGTCATAGGTAAACCTGAGGAAAAACATTGTCTGTTGTTTTCTTGCAGGCTTCAGGCTTTTCAAGCCAAGCAACAAGTGCTGGGAAAGAACAGAATGATAGTAAAGAAGGAATGAACCAGAATAAGGTTAAATCAATGGCAACTCAGCTGTTGGCCAAGTTTGAAGAGAATGCTCCAAATACAATTTTTAGGAGGCAGGTAGGTCATTGATGAAAATAAGTCATTTCTGAAATTACGCTGTAGTCTCTCCTTGTGAATGTGATGCAGATCTCGGTGGGGGGGGGGGGAAGTGGATCTGTAAGATGTTTGGATAGGGTTTTCTTTCCTTGTTTTTAATTCTTTATGCTAATTAAAGGGTATTCCTCTTAATTTTGTGGGAACAAATATAACTAATATATAGATCATTGCATTTCAATATGCTGTATTATAGTGCATAGTAATATCATGTGGAATTGCAGAGACTGGAAATCTCTTGTAAACCAGTCTGTAGAATTTCTCCTTGGTGTAGGAGTCTGTTGGCTGTATGTGATATTACAGAATAACTTTTTTTTTTCTTTCTGTGCTTTGTGAGTAAAGGTAACCAAATACCCTGCAGACTCTTTCTTTGTAGAACATTTAAAGAAAGCATAGGAAGGGAGCCTAATCTTTTGGAAGATATGTACAGCTTTTATTTCCATTCCTAAGGAAGGCATAGTAGAATATGTTTGAACATTTCACAGCACTTTCATAGTTTGTTGTTAATGCTGGCCGTGTTTTAAAATCATCCTGTGCTGTCATGGTAACAATGATAATCCCCAAATCACACTTTAGCCAGTGAGATGGCTTGGTAAATCAAACGAATTCAGATCTCTCACCTGAAAGATCTGAAGGAAGGATTTGCAAGGTGTCAAAGTTTTGTCAAAGGTGGTGGCTTTCTTAATTCTTTGTGCTTGTATGATTTTCTTTGTTTACATTCTTAAGTCCTCAAAAGGTGTAGGCTTTACAGATGTCAAGTGACTTTTCCAGTCTAGGAACCATTGCTCTTTGCACTCTTTCCAGCTACTTCTCTTTGCTCTGAGATTTGTGCATGTCGTAACTGAGTAGAACTTTGCTTGTTCAATGAAACCTTGTTGCATTATTACCTTTTGATCATAGCCTCTCTATGAACACTGAATTTTTTGAATTTTAAGTATATCTTTGATGGTAAAAGGGTTAATAAAAATGAGTAGGGGACAAAAATCTGCAAAGCATGTTGATTAAGCTCTATAATACTGTTTCTTTAAAAACAGCTTTTATTTCTTTCTGCCTCAGAAGATCTTAAAATCCTATTTACCGTCTTTCTTTTTTCTCCACTCTGTCTTCATAATTTAAAAATGCTTTACAAGGAGCAAATAGATAGACCAGCCCTGGTCTCTTCTGATTCTCCTGTTAATCCTCGCTTTGCTAAACCTAAGGATCCAAGTCTTCTTTCACCTCAACCAAAAAGGCAGGTAGGAACTCATGTAGATAACACCTCAAGATCATATCATTCCTCTTACTGCTGGGAACTCAATGTTATTGTGTAATGACAGAATCTATAAAATGATAATTGGATATGATCTGCAGAGTTAACAGATACATTTAGCTGAGAATTGTGAAAACTGCATTAAAGTTTAGGCTTAAAAACCATTAAAGGTTTTTATACCTGCTTAATCAGGTGAGAAGAGTATTTGCAAGAATCAGTAGGTGCATAGAAAGAACCATAAAAACCTAGAGGTGTTGATCTCCATGTTATCACATGTAGTATCCAAGTTGTGTTTAAGTTGTGTTTGTGTGCAAGAAAAGTACAGCAATAGCTGACAATTTTCTGTGTGTGTACTTGATGCTTTGTGCTGTTGGAATGAATGATAAGGCAAAAGGAGTTTTCCACTCTAAGAAGGAAAAATGACTAAGCTAAAGGCTTGAGCATTGGAAAATCTCGTATTAATGCCCAGGTTTTCTACTTCATTGTGCAGCATCATATACCCGGGGCAAAATTTTTGAGAACTTTAATTTTTCTCTTAGCATTTCTAAAGCAAGCAATCTTTATATCAAATAATATTGATATTCACCTTAAATTACAATTTTTGAATTGCAGTAAATATTCTGTAGTGGTCTTCTAATTTTACCACAGACCACTCTTGGATTTGTATTGTATGTGGAAATCTCCAGGTCAGCTTGATGAAAACTGCATATTGATGAACTGTTTGAGAATTATTTTAAAGGCAGATGTGCTGTTCTGTAATGTCAAGAGCAAACTGCAAGTTGATTAGAATTAATTTTTCTTAATTTTAATTCCGAAGATTTTGGTCCAATGGGATGAAGTAGAAAACTGTCATGAAAAAAACAACTGGAAGGTTATTTTTAAGACTGAATTTAATAGAGCTGAACTGGTTTGGCTATTTTATTTACTTCAAAAAATATATCATATAAAGATAAAAATTCGGAGACCCATTCTGAGCTCCTCAGAAAGTGCTTCAAATCTGAAAAGCATTATCTCAACTCATGCTACACTAGATCAAGGATTATGCCAGGGACTACTGTTGGTATTTTTACAATTTGATTGACCAGTTTCAGGTAGATATGATGCTAAAACAGAACTTTGTTTTAAAAACAAACAAAACCCTAGAATAAGATGTTGTCGCGTTCTTCTCCACTAATGCTGTCTGGACTTATTCATTAAAAACTGAGGCAAAACTCAAGAAGGATGTGAAGACCTTCATAAGCTATGTAGCACCAATGTATTTCAGTGCATGGACATGAGTAGTACACTTGCAGTAGATAGTGTGGAGAGAGTACTATGAGATCCAGGAGAACATTTCATTTCTTGTTCCATGCATGACTGTGCTGTGCTTTTGGAAGCATCCTTAAAAGCTGAATATACTGCATGGTAGTGCAGAAAGCAGATTATTTTTTTCACTTCAAGTGTTTCCCAGTTTCAGGTGGTAGCTAGAACTGCACACGAGGTCAGGGAACCCAAACAGTCTTTAAATGGTTCTGATCATATGGCCAGGAGACCAAAGACTGTAGAAAAAACAGATACCCAGCCCAGTCTGTCAGAAACCTCTGAAAATCTTGCATCTGCCTGTTCCGCTGCATTTGTACTCTCTGGAGTGCTTGAGCGTCTTCAGAACCTGGAGGAAAAAATGAAACAGGTGACAAGCAAATTATTTTCCTTTCTCTCTCTTAACCACATATATTAATCTATATACTGTATTTGCCCTGCGTATGCTGGCATTTTCTCTGTTGATTTTTAGGTTATATTAAGACAATAAAAATGCTTCTTGCATGCTTGCTGTATTCTGGTGAGATGTATAACGTTGACTGAAATCTCCCTCTCTTTCCTGCTCTCTTTCCTGCTCTCTTACTGCAGAAAAGAGCTCAGACCATAGCAAGTAGAGAATTCCATAAAAAGAACATTAAAGAGAAAGCGGCACATCTTGCCTCAATGTTTGGATACATGGAGTTTCCAAAGGTGAATATTAGGTTTTGCACCTGCAGAACTGCTGAGTTAGAAGACATATTTGAGAATCCTTGGGGGAAAACGATTGCCATGTTTTGTTTTTTTTTAATTTTCCTTTCATTCTGGGTAGATCTGAAGAGTAATTTGGATTCCACTGAAAACTGCTAAAAAGCTTTAAATATTATTGCATAATTTAATTGAGGTAAAACACAATCTAAATTATAAAACCAGTCAGAGTACTTTTGTATAAGGGAAATGTCTTAAAATACACCACATGTTGCGTGTAAGTGTACGCAAGTAGCTTGCAGTTTCTAAGGAACTGGTAAGCAGTAGTTCTCAGTCAGCAAAATTTGGCATTTAGTTTTGTTGTGCTTTCTCCCAGCACTACATTACCTTGCTGCCTGCAAGAAAATTGAGTACAGTAATACTATTTGATGTGAAGGTTTTGCCATGATGATTTCCATGGCTCCTCACTATGAAGAAGTAAAGAACAGTGGAAAATTGTCGTCATTATCTATTTTTTTTTTTTGGGTGCATGACTGTGAAATTACTGTCTTAACCTGTGCTAATGTCACTCTCTGTTAGATAACTCTTCTCTGTTTCTGCTCTACACAGAGTAAGCTACCTACTAAAGGCTTATCCCATTCTCAGCCCCCAACTCCCTCTTGCCTTTCATCTCATGATTCAGCTGCTGCCTGTCCTCCGTCATCTGTAGGTTCAACTTCCCCTGCACTTCCTTCTAGACAGGTACTCTATTAACAGATTTTTCCTGTAAAATCCAAACTTGTGCTAAAGTTGCTTGAGAAATAGCTTGGATGGAAGGTACTGCCTTTGCATGGTGGATCTCTTGGATAGTTTGTATCTCACATACAAATTAAACTTTACTTTCTTTGCTGTTGCTAATTTTGCATGTTTGTAAGACGAAAGTCAACACTAAAAGTAGTTTGGGTATAAAGCTGAAGAACGGAGTAAATACTTGAGAAAACTTTTACCTAAATTCAGAATTTTTTGCATCACTGCTTATTTCAATGTTAAAATTATAAACAGTAATTATCTGTTGTTGGATAGTACCACAGATACACGTAGGAGAGAGTGAGTTCCATGTTGTGTGTATAACTGCATGTTATGGGATTGGTTAATTGTGCTGTGGGTTATTTTTCTTTTTCATAATACTATCACTTGGGCCTGCAGGGAAGAACCTGGATCATACTGCTTATTTTAAATAGAGGATGTGTGTTAGAATTGTATGAGCATTTGTTGGCATGGGCAGACTTTAATGTTGTTTTCTTTGTTTGCTTATTTGTACTTTAAATTTTATTCTGAGGATTAATTGCCAGAACATAGTTCTTTGTAACAGCAGGCTTCACACAGAGGAAGCATGCATGAAATGAAAGCAATTAGGTAATACTTAAATCAGAGGTATTCAGCTCTTACTACTTACACAGTGTTGCTTTTATCTGTGAAAGATGAGATGTCATCTATGAGTTGGCTTCTAACTCCTCTGTTTCAGGATTTTAATTGAGGAAAGTTGGATAATTCACAGCTTTTCAGGGACGGTAAAGGCCCAGATTCCTTTTACTTCACCCAGATTATGTAGCAGCAGGCTGGTAACACCACAGTATTGATTAGGCTTGGAGTGGACATCAGGGTGGAAACGTCAAGTTTCTAGAAGCATTGGAGGTGGCTGCTGTGACCCAGCGTAGGTACTGCTGGAGCTGGTGGCCCTGCTGTCTGGCACACAGAAGTGCTGTTCAGCAAAATCAGGTACTGTCTCCATTTACTGGGGCAAAGGCCAAAGCATTCTGCCTGCTCTTGTGTTTAAATGACAGTAATTTTATGAAATATTCATGAGTATTATCAAACTTCAGGTAAGTCAAGGCTGAAGATGATTTCCTATCTGATGGGTGTTCAGCAGTATTATTTAGTGGAATTAGTCTAGATCACTTTAGGATTTTGTTTATTTTTTGTTTGCTGTGTTGGTTTGGTTGTCTTCTACCATATTGTTGATGCTAGTTGGAAATGGGGCTCACCGATGCAACAGTAACTGAGCAGGTAGCTATTAAGCTTATCTGTGGTTTGCAAAAGTATGTTCCTTGGATTAGATGGAGGTATATTGAAAAAACTCTCTTCCTCTCTCATTCCCCAGGAGAATATAGGCTACGAGCCCTTCAAGGACATTGCAAGCCCAGCAGGTGCCTAACTACTATAATCCTCTAATCCCCTTCAGCCTTAAAATCATTCCTTTGCCTAGATTCACCTCTTACTTTTTATGATCTAGGAGGTGTAACATTTGATGGACTTAAAGCAAAGTAATGGTTTTCAAAATATTGGGGTCTGTTGCTCTTCTGTTCTCGAGTAAAATTATGGCACTACAAAAAGAGTAAAAATCAATGTGCACTAGGCTTTAGCAAATGAGAACTAGGCTCTTAATCTCATTATAAGCAATGTTTTTGCTTATAACCCTGCTTTTGGCAGGGTGAAGCACATATGAGGCTAGAAAAGCTTGTTCTGTCACCAGCACAGTACATGTACCTTCATCTTATTTGGTACATTGTTGCTTGGTTAGGTAGGACTACATTTATTCTGTAGCATTCCTACGTATATGGGCATGCTGATGCTTAGTATATTGCTCCACAGGCTTGTACAGTCTCAGGTCCTCCTGTATACTGTATGCTCCGCACATGTTTAAATATAGCACATTCAGCACAGCATAGTTGAGAATTTTCAAGTAGCCTGGTAATTAACAGGCTAGCACTTACTTTCCCCCACTCTGAGGCAGATGTGATAATAGAAAACTGATCCAAATGAACCCCAACTGATGATGGATTATTGTAAATAGTTTAGTGGGAAAAGTAGTAATTTAACAGCAGCAGCAACAAAACACCAACCCTTGAGGTTTTTTTTTTCCAAGGTTGCCAGTGAACGCAAGTGATGTTGCTGGTCTTGCCCTTGCTACAGGGGTTACTAAAGGGGTGGGAAGGGTGCTCAGGATCAGTCAGCCCTGATGCTGGGCAAGGCTGCTGCAGGTAAGGAGCGGGTACCTGTGCTTCATGTCTGTGCCAGGTATGATAAAGGGTCACCATGAAAACGGAGATTGGGGTCAGGCTTGGGTGTTCAGATAAGGGACCTTTGAATGGTAAGGAGCAGGGTGCTGGGGGACAACTTTCAGAGCAAGTTATGCCAATGTGCATTCGCACTACACAAATAAATGTTGATCCTGCCATGAGGATGGGGGAGGGACTCAGTAGCCCTTTGGGTCTATGTCCATGACTGGTTTTGTGTTAGTGATGTGCTGATGATGATGTTTATGGATGTGCCCAGCTGTTGTTCTTCATCCTCTGTTATTGAAACTAATTCAGTCCTATGATACCCCATTACTTTAGTTTTACCTCTTTGGCAACTTAACTTCAGCTCTGTGTCTCTTTGAGTTACACAGGCCACATTTTGGCTTATCTTTTGTTAATTCTAAAGCAAAATATTTTGAAGAAGCAGATTTATTACTGTTATTTTTCCTGTAAGAGTATGAAATCTTCAAGGAACGCCTGCTGCTGTCTTGATTTCATAATAGGCAATCTATATGTACTCTTCCATGATTAAGTTGATGTTCCTGCATTTTGTATGTTAAGAATGCACAGTTTTCAGAGCATGAAAGTTTTGTTGTGCTTTTTAAAACAATAGCTAAATGTGCAGTATTATATATACATAGATATGTGTGTATATATAAAACTATGTATATAAAAGATAATATTTCAGGTGCACAGCCTGCACTTTCAAATAGTGTGCATGCTAGTTTAATAATGTGTTTGGACCTTTGTGATGTGACTGTATATTAGTAATGGTCTGTGTTCATGTTACCTTGAGGATGGGTTTGTAGGACTATGAATTTGTACTTGATCTCTTCTGAGAGATATCACTAGCTAAGTGTAGACTTCAGTATGGAAAGGGACCTCAGGACTGGTAAACCAACAGGAAGAGTTCCCATGTGTTGCTGTGTGTCCTATTTTTCCCAGCAGAAGAACAGAAGATAATAGAAGTTTGATTTTAGTAAGACTTCATAAGATATGACCTGTAAATATCAGCACCTTCCTGTCATTTAAATAGTAGTGTCATTTCAATCTCAAGTGAGTACTGAGATGATTATGTTATCAGACAAGACAATCCTTTGTATCTGATGAGTTTTTATTGGCATAGTATTAAGTATGGTGTCTGAGGAGACTTACTGTCTTATTACAGAGACATGTTGTTAAGCCTCAATCCTGAAAGGAGCGTTTGAAAGTGATTCTATGGATGCATGCTGTTTCTTCCAGTTTCTTTTAAATATATGCACCATAACATACAGTCTTTTGAACTTATTAAGAATTAAATTCTGTACAGAAGTATATGCAAGTCAGTAATAATCAAAGCTCCCTTCTAAGTTTAATCAGCTGTCATATTTCGTATAAAATTATGAGTTAACAGGGAAAGTTGAAGAAAGCTAAGCTGTGTAAGAGTTGACAAGTTCTCTAAAGGAATGTGCCCCTGGTGTGTAGATATGAGGTCAGACTTTCTCTTCTGCAACTGGAGTTCTTACGCTTGGGTGATTGAAGGGGAGAGGATGTCATCAAAGTCCTTGTCCATAATTGTCCATAAACTGGATGAGGTTGAGAGAAGACATGGGGTGTCTTGGTGGTGATGCTGTTGTCATACAAGGGCTGATGATGAGCCTTGCAAGACAGAACTGCTCTGGTGCTCCCTGACCCTCTGCTTCTCAGTGGGTTTCTGCTCATGGCAGGTGCTCACAGGGCTGCCCCTATAGATTCTTGCCTTGCCCTGCTCTTTTTATTTCCTGATTGAATGCTACTTAAAAGGTGCAGTGCTGCAGCTGTTGTAAATTATCTTCTCTTGTCTACCCACTTCTCTGATTCATTAAGGAAAACCAGTAGCAATCTTCTCCCAGTAATGTATCCTTATAAACCATATTCTCTAAAGTAAAATGTAATCAGTCCTCAAGTCTATTTGCTTCCTTCCCTTCCTCCTGGTCAGCACCAACAATCTTCGTGTTGGTGGTTGTTGATTAGGAGACAAGAGCAGACAGCAATCTTGGTTGCTTGATTGAACTAAAATCCCATTTGCTTTTGCATGGAATGTGAATTCACAGTCATTACATGAACATTTCCTTTTAAAAAAGTTTTTAGCAGTATATATAGACATGCAATTTTCTTGTTTTGACTGCCTTAATGTTGACACAGATTGCTCCAATGGGTGGAGAACAGAAATTAACCAACCTGACGAATTGTAAGGTATAGTTCAGGCTCCAGGATACTTTCCCTGAAATGCAAGTACTTGCACTTTAAGCGTAGCCCTACTGTTTAACTGATGAATGCTGCAGCATTTCACTACCTCAAGGGAATCTTTCTGCTTCAACAGACTTTGAATGGTTTCTTTTTCCTAGGAGCTTGTGGTAATAAGTTGTATGTGGCCTAAAAGTTGTTCAGAGGTGCATATTTTAGAAAGGAAATTTTTGTCTGCTATGATTTTAAATAATAAAAAAGAACTTAATTTTCCTATAGTAGCAAGTAATGTCACTTTTACTCTCTGTTTCTAAATTAATATACCACTTAAGACAGAGTTGGGGTATATACTTTTCTGCCACTTTCCTACAAGTTGTGCAGGTATTAAATAATATTTTAATAGTTTTTTATATTAAGCAAAACCAAACAGTACAGAAATTTGTCCTTTAAATGGCTTTTGTTGTCTTCATGTACATCCTTTATATCTGCCTGGATATAAAGACAAATCTAATTATGATACAACACTCAAAAGATAAGGGGAGCTGTAAGGGGCTGGACATGTTTCCAAGTCCCTGCACTTAAATTCTTCATTAGCATGAATATTTTTATTAACTATAATTTTTGAAAAAATACCCACAGTTGCATTTACATTTTTTTGCATTTTATATTTTTCTCCTTTCTTCAGAGTGACTTTATGATATTTTAAAAACGCTCCATTAGTAAGACTGTGGTGGCAGAAGAAAACTCATTTCACTGAGAAGCATGAGACTTTAAAGTTTGGCTCAGTGGGAGGCAAATAGAGAGTAAGATGTGAGATCATGGGTCCTGTAGGAAGGAAAATGTCCTGGCTTTAGAAGCAGAGTATCAGATACCTGGCCATACCAGCATGGCTCTTGCTGCTTTTGGGTTTGCAGAGGGATTGTGGGATATTGATTAAAAAAATAAAATCACTACAGGAAACTTGAATTAGGGTAGCAAATCTTAATGTAAATCTATGAGATCTTCACAGTCTCTTCTTCATGAAAAGAGAACTAGAGTACCCACCTGCCACACACACATGTACAAGTAGCTTTCTCCTTTTCCACCCCCAGGCCTATTTGTGGCTAGAAAACCTGGCCCATACAGTCAGTGGTCTGTCTGAGAAGTGTTTGGAGCCGCAGCATAAGGAACTGCTATCTTCCTGCAGACCTGTTGGTTAAATTTTGTTAGAAACAGCCTAACTTAATAGTGGCTGTAATGGTATGACCAAACAGGTTAAAAGAGGTGTCTTCCCTGCATGAGTACGGTTTCTGAAGTTTTCCTCAGCGCTAAGAGGAGTCACTGGAGAGGAGAAAGATTCCTCTCTGAGCATCAGCAAACTGTTTCTGCGAGGGACTTCTAGTAGGTGTTTGTAAAATGTTTCCTGAAATGCCAGTTTGAAGTCTGTCATTATGAAGTTGAGCCCACCTCAACTTTCTGAATTATAACACCAAAGGTTTAAAAATTCAAATGGGTGGTGGTGGTTTCATTTGTTTTTTAATTTAACACAATAGTCCACCCCTGATAGCCAGGCAGTAGCTCCCAGCTCAGCTGCTGTGTGCCTTTTGCAGATGCAGCAGGAAGCCTTGTGCTGTGGGAGCAGCAGTGGCTCCTAGCAGCTATTTCTCCATCATCTGAAAGGAGAAGTGTGTATGGACTGCCTAGAAGTCTCCTGTGGCCACCAGCTCGACCGTGCTGATCGTGCATGAATGTGTTTGTGCTCTGCTGGACTTGCCTCTGCTCTTTCTCAGAGCCTGTCTCTATCATTGCTTGCATTCATTTGCATGTTTTCAACTCATTCTCATCTTTTTCTCATTAAATTCTTGAATAACCAAGCTCTTCCTTCAATTCTTCATCTTCTTCCTTTTTCCGGTTAGATGACTGTAGGAAAGGTCTCATGTGCAATTGGAGCTATGGCAGAAGTTCTTGTCAATCTATATGTGAATGATCACAGACCTAAGCCACAAATTCCCCCCCTTGAACTGGTAAGGCTAAATCCACAAAGAAACAACAACTTGACTTAAAAACAGTGTTTTCGAGAGTATCATCCTGACTTAAGACCCTGGTTGTGGAGCACCTCAAGTGTTATATCTTAGTCTAACACTTATTAAGAAATCAAGTGCATATTGACAAAACATGCTGATGCATATGTGGATATGCTGGAATTGTTGCTCTCAATATATTCTATTTATATTTTTATTACTTGCCCGTATGAAATAAAACTTCAGGAGACTTTTATTAAATGTAATTACTGGTACAACTAATAATAAATGGTAGCTATTAATCAAGGTGGCTTCTAAAAAAGTTTTGTACAGTGCATGTTTATGCAATCATTTTTAACATATAAATGCTGAATCACCATGCTTCATTTTGAAGAAAGCTATTTTTATACTCTGACACTATCCTGTGTTGAATTCAGAAGCAGTCTCTGGACAGAGCCTCAGATTCTTGCCCCATTCCCTATTCTCCATCTCCTGCCTCCACTACTCAGAGACATCAGGTATTGGGAAGCTAAGTAAGGTGGTGTGTTGCAGTGATGATAATTACTTATTAGCCAGCACTGAACTCTGATTGCTTCCACTTTACTGTAACTATCTGACCTGTTCTGTTAACATCATATTTTGAAAAATGCATTTCTATGCTTTTTCACTTGCATGGTTGTTGATTTGGAAAGTTTTGTGTAGTTCATGCTCCAGAATCATCCAGCACACCAAAATCAGATTACTAAAGGTAGGTTTGGTTTAGGATTCTCAGTTTTTAAGCACAAGAGTGTGACTCATGACATTGATAATTGTGACTTAAACTTAATATTAAAAAATTGTTCTGAGGCCTTCTTTCACTGACAGATTGAAGATGAGTTGTGTGGGCTGCATGCTGGTGTCTGTATGTGAGTGGGCTCTGCCAGGCTTGCACCTCCACTGTCCCAAGTGTGGCACCCCTCACAAGGTGAGGACAGGAAGGGGAGGTGGTGGCAGCTGTGGTAGAGCCAGGATGCTCATCTGTACTGACCTATACACAAGTAGAATGCATAATACAAAGTAACTTCTTCATACCTGTCTCTAATAAGAAAGGGGAAGCCCAATGGTGTCTAGTCTATTTAATTCATTTTTCTGTGTCTTTTGCATGTATTATTATCCACAAAAGATAAGGTTTGTGGCAATAAAAAAAAAAAAAAAGAAAATCAAGTTAACTGACCAAATCCAACACAAACTTTGAAAATATTTCATGTTGTTGATATGGGTCATATTTTAAAATCCAATGTATTTATAGTATGCTGAAAGTCCATGGTGGTAATGAAGCTGATTTTTAAAATAAACCAAGCCCTAGCTTGGGCTGTTGTCTCAGAAGAAGCATGGATGAGGTGGGGAAGCACATGTGCAGGTGATGGACGTGGTGGTTCAGACACCAGTATCAAAGACTGTCATATTTTTCGTTCTTAACTTTAAAGCACAAGCCTACATTTTCATTAGGGGTATGAGCTCAGTGCTACTGAGCTGAACTGAGTCTTCAGGGCTTCCTTAGCTTCAGTGAATCTCTGTTCAAGACCAGCGAGGTCTGCCTTTGCCTTTGTTTGAGAAGCACTGCTGCCTGCAGCCATGAGTGGAAGTACCTGGGACGGTGTGGCACAGGTTGCTGGGTGAGCGTGTGGGGCTGATGCTGCTCTTGGACCTGAACAAACATGAGGTGCAATTCCAGTTGCAAGCTCACCCCTTCAAGTCCTTGTGATGTCTGATTTATGAGTTGCTGTGTAAACCTATGGAATTGCAGCCAGAAAGTAATAAAAAAATAAAAAACTGATGCTTATTTTAATTGTGTGTGTGGTGGGGGGGCTGCATAAAACTTCAAGCGTCTATAGCAGCTACCCACTTTAATAAGAATTTCTATCTGGGCGTTGTGCAATGGCTTCATATGCATTTCTATTTTTATCTTTTAACAGGGATCTCTGCGAAAAGAATTCCCTCAGTCTATTGGGGGGAGTGACATCTGTTATTTCTGCAAAAAAAGGGTATATGTTATGGAGCGTCTGAGCGCAGAAGGCTACTTCTTTCACAGGGAGTGCTTTAAGTGTGAAATATGTTCTACAACACTCCGTTTAGGAATTTATGCCTTTGATGTTGAAGAAGGTAATACAGGAGCTATTTAAGAATATTTTAAAATGTCTGAGTATTGATACTTCTAATGGAACTGGGGGCAAAAGGCCTGGCCAAGTAGCTCAGTCAGGAGGAGGTCTGCCAAGTATGTTGTTTGTGTCCATGCCGATCTTTGAGGCCTTGTACTTGCAGTTCTAGTCTTTCAAAAGAAGCCGGCTGGGACAGACCTGAGCTTTAAATGAAGAAATCAGAAGTGGAAAATAAGGGACAAAAATACAGTTTGTCCAATTACAGGTCAAAATCAGGGGGTAGGGTGGAAAGGTGTTTTTTCTCTGACTGCCAACAATAAAGGGCTATCCTTATCTCTCACTTATTACTAGCCATTAAATAAAGTGACTTGATAAAGAGAAGTCAGATCAGTAGCAAACTTAGACAGGTGAATATTCTTTCTTTCAAGATGTTCTGGCTCAGGAGGTGAAAGTCGGTAGTAGTGGCCAAGCAGCAGTGCCATTTATTACAGTCAGCTGTAGGACAGGAGGTTCAGATCTTGGGCTTCTGATGCCACCTATAGCCTAGGGCTTGTGGACGGGGGATTGTTTAGTTTTGTTTGGTTGCTTCTTTTATTTCTTTAGAGGGAAAATATTACTGTACCTAAATTCCCTTGCTATTTCCAAATGATTTGAGTATATCTGAGTATCAACCTGATCTCCCTCCACAGAAGGATTAACATCTCAAGGCCAATGATGGTTCTTTTGCACTCCAGAGAGTCTTCAGCAAAGACTTTCTTGAACTGGTTATATGACTTTGCTGCTTAATGTCTTTCATTGGTTTATGGCTTGGTATTCATAGAATTTTGCTCGTGTTATTTATTAATCCTAAACCTGTTTGATAGATGAATAAAAGGTCTTATCTTATTTAACAAATGTGCAAATCTGCGTGCTGTAAAATAAACCCTTTCAAAGCTGTAGGTAATGTGCAGAGCCAGTGGCCAGTTTTCTATTCCTTTCTTTAATAGACATAATAGCGTGTTTTCAATGCAGTATTGAAAATGCAACTGTAAAAAGTTACATCGTTTACTTTTTTCTTTTAGGTAAATTTTACTGTAAACCTCATTTTACACACTGCAAAATCAGTAATAAACACAGAAAGAGAAGAGCAACATTACAGGTTCAGGGAAAGGTATGTATGGGTTATGTTACTAATGCAAGAAATACTGGGGGCAGCTTTATCTGGAGCAGGGTGCAATACATGTGTAGTCTGGTTTTCAAATGAAACGAGGTCTTCCTTTGTAAAATAAAGTTGAACTTGAGAATAAATGGAAATGAAAATATATATATATATAAAAACTTGAAGACAATAACAGAAACTGAATTTTCTACTTTTTTTTAGAAGTATGTTTAATATATTTTTTAATGCTTTCTATAAGGAGGCAACAGAAGCATGGAAGAAAGAAGAACCCAAATCTACAGAGACCACCACAGAAAGCACTTTAACTACTGCTAGCAATCCAGAGGACAGGTCCCCAGGTATCCTGACTTCCTTCTTTAGGGGCACTCTAAGTTGGCCCCTTCGGGTGACAAGGGATCTGCTTGACATTCCCAGACGCCTGTCTAACTGGATGCATGGTTTTCTGCACGCTACCAATCTTCATTTCAGGGACAATGCATATAACTATACCTACTTGTATGAACTCTTGAGCCTTGGTGTGCCATTCCTCTGTGCTCTTCTAGAGGTACTTACTCATATGTACCGGGAAGCAGAGCTATCACTTGAAAATGTGCTTGAATGGGCAAAAAAGTTCTATAGGATTTAAATTTTTCTGTGTCTTGCTCAGTTGTGCCTTTCAGATTTTCAAAATTAACAGCCCCACTATTTTCCTGAAGATTTTTTTTTTTTAACTTTTCCTGCAATTTAATGTGCAACTAAAACAAACAATAGATTCCTTCTGATACAAGCTAGGTGCAATTAAAGTTTTCAATATAAAATGTACTGTATGTTAGATGTATGTACTATGTACTGCATGAGTACATATGTAATATGTACTGCATGAAGGGCAGTGTCCAGATACATTTCCGGAACTCAGAGATGGATGAAGGATATTTTGTAGATTTTCTTTTCCTGTTTTGTCTTGTTTGTGATAAGACCATTGGGGGTGGGTACATTTTAAAACCTTTCTTGTCCACTTCTCCCTGCTTCCCCCACTTTTTTTTTTTTTGGACTAAGAAAGAATTTTTGTTCTTTCAGATATTTGGGGAATATTTATAGAAAAAAAAATGACTTGGTTTTGAAACCTGAATACGGCACATCCCTTTTCTTCTTGTTTTCATCTTTCCTCTGGGTTATGAGGTTTATAACTTGCATGAATGTTTCAAAAAAAAAAAAAAAAAAAAGAAAAGAAAACCATGTACTTAATTCCTTAATTCATATTTCTCCTAGTCATGCCTTTTACATTTCTCACGTGATAGGTACCCCCTATTGATAGTGGGTATAATTTGTAATTCTAATTTATTTAACGTTTTGAAATAAATCTAAAGAGCAAATCTCAGTTGAGTGAAAGCTTGATTGAAACTGCATGCCAAAGAAATTGGTAGTATAACTAGACATGCCTTATTCCTCAATGCAAGGCTTCCTCATTAAGTAGCTGATTTGAGGAATATCAAGTTGTGGAATACTCATATGTTACTGAAATTATGGTTATCGTGCCTCCAGACAGGCACTGGTCCTGTTGTATTCTGAAAGAATTCCAAATACAAGTTTTGAACAAACTACAAAAACCTACAAATTTATTTTAAGGATATTACTTCTTAATCAACTATTTAATTCATTTCAATGTGTAAAGCTGATGGCAAAAAAGATTAAAGTCTGTTATCTGGAGCAGTTGTTAATAACTTTTTCAAGTATCTCTCATCAAGGTGTTCCTTCATCAAAAGATGTCAGGGGCAGGTTAAGTACACCTATTTAACAGCAAGGAGACACTGAGAACATCCCAAATTCTGCTTCCTTTCTCAGCCTGGTTAGCCAATGATGTAAGCAGGCTCCATGCCTCAAAAATACTTGAATGTTTACAGAGTCACAGAATCATCTAGGTTGGAAGAGATCTCTAAGATCACCTAGTCCAACCTCTGACCTAACACTAACAAGTCCTTTAAAGTTCAGATGTTAACCAGCAAATTGATAAAAACATAAATATAAAAATATGAGCAGCCTAAAATGAAAAATATCTGTAGCATGTACTTTAGCTGAAATAATATGGCTTAAATAATAGGAAATAATTTTACATTGAGCTTGTACCAAAGTTTGAGGATGACCTTTTAGTGGTCTTAAGTAACTGTGCTACTTATGAGGTGGCAGGTTGTTTTTTTTCTTTCTTTTTTTTTTTTTTTTGGTTGGTTGTTTTAACACAATGTGGGAAAAGACAGTTTAAAGTTGTTTTCTTCCATAGGTTTTAAAATGAAATGTGTGTTCTGTTTAAAATAAATGACAACTGGATTTTTCCTCTAGATACTTTGACTTAATTTTTTTCAACTACAAGGATAAAGCTTTTCACTTTTTATAGTCCTTATATTGTCTGGGGAAAATTTGTAAAGTATGTGCACAGAACTTGGAAAAAAAAAAAAAAAAGCTTGAAAGAATTGTTTAGTTATAAGGTAGCATTTGTTTGAAATCAATTGCCATTAATGCTCAAACATGTTAAAAAAAAAAAACAAAAAAAAAAACTTTGCTAGACTGGACACAGTGACCATTATAGTAACGTGGTAAGCATCTATATATATTCAAGGAAATTTATCTGTACCTCTTCTATAGCATTTTAAAATTTCTACTTTGGATCACTATACTTTTTAATTATTTGCTAAAGACAGTAGTTGTTTCACTCTAAAAAGGAAAAAAAATGCAGTGTGATTTTCTGTGTTACTCCTGCAACACAACAAACCGCTAACTGATAAAGTTAGACTCACCATCAATTTTAATTTCAGCTTGTCAATAGTGCAGTCTCATGGAACATTTTTTCCTGAAATTTTCTCCTGCTGTTCACTACAGGAAATTTTTCTTTTTTCTTTTTTAAAGATAGCAATGGTTATATATAGATTTATATAATGGGGAGAGGAAGAAAAAAAAAAAAAACAACACTAAATTCCCACAGCAGAATTCAGAAAGAGATATGCAAAATGAAACCATTTTCCTGAAGGATCTTAATTATATTACATATTCCACTGGAATTTTGCAGGTGATTTTTGAATATAGCAATCTAATTGTTAGATGTGTTTGTAATCTCTTTATCTTAATATTCTGTTAGAAAGATTCATAGCTATTTGTCCTTATTCATGATTTAATGAAAAAAGCATTTTCGTTTTGGCTAATTCTTCTTTGTAATCTTTCTGATGCTTTTCTGTATAACCAAGCTAAGTTATGTATTGTTTTTTTCTGCTCTCTGCCAATCTCCCTCATTACTTTCAGTCCAATTCATCATTCCGGTGTTGCACCCGCTCACTGGCTGAAGCCCTTCTGCTCTCAGGTGATTTTTCTGCTTGCCAGTTCACAAACTGTGCAACTAACACTGTTGTTTGACAGCATTTAATTGTGTTGGGTTTTGTTGTATTATTTTAAGACCATTTTAGAGCAAACTGTGTGTGTCTGGTATATTAATGGATGTGAGCTTTGGCATGATCATTTAACCTGTTGCTGAGTTCATAGTTCTAAAAAACTTAATGTCTGCTCTCTCTGTAGAGAATGTTTTTCCTCTCTGTGTCTGTGCATGTACACTTTCTTGTGCCTTTCAGGCGACTTAGGCAAGTAAATTAATTCTTGAAAGAAACAGTTAAAGCCTTATTTCTTTCAAGGAAAGATTTAAAATAAGGTCAGGAGAAGAGCTAGTTGATTCTCCTGGTTAGCATGAACACTTTCTTCCATTGTGCTCAAATACTCAATGAGCAAATTTCCATTGAGCTCAAATATTCAGTGAGCAAGCAATGTTTAAGTAGGGTGGCTCTAAGTACTCCTTTGCTTTCATAAAGGAAAATTATGATATAAAAAGGTTCTGTTGAACAAAGCAGCCAGAGCAACGCAAGTTCCATTCCTCCATCCCAGATAACATACTGGGCAGGGCTAACAGAAATAGATGCTATTTTTAGTCCTCAGTGTCAAAATGCCAAGTTTAAATAACCAAAGTGTTTTGGTTTGAGCTGCTTTGTTGATTAATATCAGCTCTAATGAGGCCCCATTTGCCCTTTGATTAATATATTTGTCTTGCTGCATGAGAGGCTGCCAATACTCTCCATGATAAATTCATAAATGCAGCTATTTTGTATGTATTTTTGCATGTAAGATCCAGTATGTGTTAACTACATGATAATCTGAAAGGAGAAATGCATCCAAAGAAGAACCAAGGGCTTAGTCTGAAAAGCAAGTGCTCTGTGATTTTGTTTGATATGGTCATGACCCATGGCAGCCTTTCCTGATGAGGATGCCCTTCAAAGGGAAGGGTGATTGGGAACTGTCCTAAGTAGCAACTTGCAGGAAGGGCCAGACATCCTGTGTCACTTGTCCTGTTTCAAACACCTCAGTCAGGAATGCAGAAGAGCTGCAAGGCCAAGAGCCCAATGCTCCTTATCTTGCTGACCTGTATGCTTGCACAACTAAAGCATCTCTTCGTGTGGGTAACCTAAAATGTCTTGATGACTTTGAAAGTCTCCTTGCTGTGCCCACACAGAAGCATCTCTATTCTAAGCATCACGACCTGGAAAAATGGTTAGGACATGGCTTCCTACAGATTTCGTATGTTTTATTGCTAAGCTCAGCTTGCTTTGAGATGAAGGTCGTAATGTAGAGGTCTGCCATTTCAAACCACTTTCCATTGCTGTGTTTTTTTACCGTCTATTGCAGAGTCTTCCTAGCTCTTCCTGGCCAGTGAGGATTCTGTCCTTCTCCTAAATCTTCTGTCTTGACTTCACTTTACAATCTTAATGGAATATTTTTATTAAATAGTTTTTAATGCTGTGTTTAATTTTTCACATGGAAATTCTGTATTTTGCACACAGTGAAAATTGTTTTAGCTTTATTTATGGTATTTGTTGTAAACAAAAATAAATGTAGTTCTTTGTAAATCTCTTTGTTTCATCTCTTCCTTTTAAAAATAATTCCTGGTAACTTCATGCTTGTTTTACAAATTCCTCTTCTGGTGGATGCTGTTGTGGTACCTTTGTATTGGTCTGACCCAAAGGCCAGGGGGTCTCACTGTGATATTACAATCAGGAGTGTGTTCCTTCACACTGGGTTCCTTGACTATGATATTCTGCACTAGTTATTCTACTTGAGACCAGGAGTTGCCTGGTACTGTGGTTTATCCTTCCCGGGAATGATAAATCAGTGTTGCTGAGTGTGGAGGCTGCTTGCATTGCATACACGAACAACACTAGTCCTCTTCTCTTTGACTTCTATTACTTTTCCTTATGTTACTTTTCCCTTATTTTTTTTTTTTTTTACGTAGCATGACTTTTATGACATTTGTTAATAAGTTAAAATCATTTGG